GCCAAGATTTTGACATCTTCGAACGTTTGTCCACGACCCTCTGGCTTCGAAGGAAGAAGTCATTTGTATTTTTGCACAAATAGAACTTTGTAGTAGAAATTTTGGTGTGGAAAATGAAAAATATTGGGAGGATAAGAGTTTGTATAAAGATTTGGTGTGGAAAGTGAATAATATTGGCAGGTATTTATAGACAAAATTTCCATAATTTTTTGTTATATTTTGTTAAAAAAAATTTGATATTTTTTTCAATCTTTTTTAGCCAAAAATTGGACATCCGTTGGATTGGACAAGATTTTTTTATCGGAGGCTCCAGGAGGAGCCACGTGGCTTACAGCTGTTGGGCTATGTGTGCTAGTGGGTCAGCTGACATTAGCATGATGTCACTCTGACGCCAGTAGCCTGAGGGCAACAACCCAGTCCATTCCTGCCTGTGGGCTTGCCTTTCTGCGCTGGAGGTGGAATTGGGGCCTTGGGGGCCTTGTTGCCATGGTAACAGGCTAGCGCTGCACTTGCTCTTAAGAAACAAATTGAGCAAAATTGGTCATTGTTTTATCAAAAGATTATAATTTGTTGATGCTCTTTTTCGGAGGGTCAACATAGGTGAAGGAGTGGTGGATCTTTAGCACGGCGAGAGGGTTATGAACCTTCAGCACGGAGGGGTCCTGCAGAAGAAAATGAGAAAGAAACAATCTTCAAGCTTCAGGCATCGGTGTGGTACCTGTTAAAGGCTATCTGATGCTTAAGTCAGCGAATATGGGATATGTGGTAATTTTGGTAGAGTAATAGTAAATGTAAAAAGTAGTTACCCTTTTTTACTTGGACACTGTTCCCTATTTATAGGGAAGTGAAAATGAGAGTTTTGCACAAAGTTTCGATGTGAGACTTTGTGCAAACTATTGTGGAGGCGACACGTGTCCATGGAAACTAGGTTTTGTAGTTGAGAGCATCAACAGGTGGTTACTACTTCGGAAGGAGGTCTTCCTTCGGTAGGTTAAGAAGGTGGTGATGTCACTTGTATTCTAAGGGCTTGTTTGGGTATCTTTCAGAGTGTCTCTTTCCCCTTGGCAGCCGAAGTGTCTGCTTAGGTACCAGTCGTCTAACGCTGAATGAGCTCGGTTTATTATGGTGTAAACATAATTTATAGACTTGCAGTTAGTTTCAGTTATTGTAGAGTTAAATACCTTTTTCGTCACCGAATTTTACAAGAAATTTCAATTTAGTTACTAAAAAAAAATTAGCCAAAAGCCATACAAATGCGAAACTATATTTTGAACTCTTTTTATTTATTTTATCAAATCTATGTATTTTTTTAATTTTTTAAATATGGGAGAATGATAATGGTTGAGATTATGGTTGGAGTTTTTTGAAAGATCAATTTGCATTTTTGTGAAACTATTAACCAAAGTTTATAATTTATAGACCTGCAGTTAAGTTTTGTTATTTAAATACCCTTTGATCATTGGGTTTTACACCAAATTTCAATTTGATCACTAAGAATTTTTTTAAAGCCAAAATCCATGCATAATCTCAATGACCAAATTGAAATTTCATGTAAAATCCAGTGACAAAAAAATATTTAACATTTATTTTTAATACAAAAAATCGTATTAATTTGATTTTGTGTTTTTATGGTAAATGATCCATTAAATGGATCGGTCTAGTCCTCAAACTTTCAATTAAATCAATGTCATTTTTAGTTTTTATCCATACATCAATTTGGGTCTTGTCATTGTATTTCATCAAAACTTTCATTAAAACTATTAAAGTGATTATTATTAACATAGACAAAATAAAACTCACATATTTTCCTCAACAATGTCATATGCTTTCTATTTACGATTTCACATTGGGGTTCCATCAATGATATATTGTTGAGTAAAGGATGTGAACTTTATTTTGTTTCATGCGTGGATAGGTCGTACTTTGACAAAACTTACCCCTTAAAGTTGGTTACATGACTAATTTTCACCAAAGATTTTATTGGAATGTCGTGACATAAACCAAACTGATGTGTGCACCAAAATATTAAGTACCACATTGATTTTACAATTTTATAATGAAAACGTTTAACAAATTTAGAAACCACTCATGATAATAACCCTTTAGGTTTCTTTTCAGTCAAAGTATGTATGGATCTACTCAATTGAGATTTTAACAAGTTCCAATATGAAATCTTGTGAAGTTTATTAAATTTAATTGACTGAATTCTATACTTATTTTAAGGTTATTTTTGCTATATTCCTACCTCATTTTTAATTTCCCTCTAAACATTTTTTTGTTGTTGTAATAATTGGGACTCAAACTATTAAATACAGTCGAGTTCTCTTTTCTCACATTTCATCCAATTTTTCATTAAAAAAATGACCCGTGCTTTAATCATGAGGAAATTACATGTGCAATATTTTGTATAATAATGTAAACATAACATGAAACATTTAAGAAAAAAAAAACTACAAACCAAATCAACCATTCCCTTCAGTCCACTCACAGTTATTGTTAACCCATTTAGGGGTGGCCAATTGAATTGAACCATACCTGAAGGGTCAAAATTGCACATTGAACAGACCTCATTGGTGTGCAACTTTTCGAAGACTGGCGCCGAACCAACGAGCTTTTCCATTGATAATGCGGTCAATTTAGAAATAAGAATACGAAGAAACGAAAGAGTTGAGAAAGAAATGAGAAAATATTAACTTAAGTGATGTATACCTTCAGTTCGGTTAACCCTTGAGAAATTATGAAATAAGGTCTGGACCTACTCTTCTTACAGGGTCTGGACCAAGTGAAAAAGGTCATTGACTTGTCAATTAGAGATCTCAGGTTCGAATTCCCACGACATCATAGTTATGTGCGTGTGAGAAATTCCCCTAATTTAGACTATCACTTATACTATATATATTATATAGAAATGTGTAATAGAAAAGAAAAAAATTTCAAAAAGGTATTGCCAATGCATTGTACTTGGATTAGGCCTTCCACCGAAAAACATATTTTTCTTTATCTTCAACTATTTTCTCTATTATCCCTCTTTTCTTACTTTCATAAAAATAACAACAACATCACAAGACAATGAAATAATAGCATCATAAGAAAACAATTAGGGGTGGATATCTCATCTAAAAAATATGTATACTGACTGTATCATACCAACGGTTTGGTTTGATTAAATTAAATTTTTTAGTTACTAATTTAACTAATCTAATCTGTACCGAAAATATTGGGTAAATGTACGGGTGGGGACATCTCTTACCGGTACCAAACCTATCTTTAATATTAATTTCTTATTTAATTATAAAAATATGTGTTAACATGTTAATCGTTGGATAAAAAGGCATTGTGGGCTGCATAATACTATATCAGCCCACTAACTCTACCAAGCTAGCCCATTCTATAACTAACCATGACTGCCCTCCTACCTAGCTAAACAAGCCCATAACTGTCCGCCAAGCACATACTTCCCCATACCAAGCCCACTAACTTCTTTCTTCTTCTTCCTTTATTCTTGACTCTCTTTTCTTTTTTCTTCCTTTATTATTCTCCCTTTATTCTTTATTTTTCTTCTTTCCTCTTCTCCCTAAACCCGAAAACTTTGATACGGTTAACAGAAAAGTCCTCTACTATTTCAAATCAACTCACGTCCAGACCTAGGAACAATAACATCACACGGCTAAATAAATAAAATAATAATATCACAAGGCCAAATATATATATATATATATATATATATATATATATATAAAGCAAAAGGAAGAGAATGATGAAAAACCAAAGGGTTCTCGCCACAATGATGTTGGATTCCCTCTACCCATGATGGAACCTAAGATTGAACCCCAGTTTAGGGGTGGGCGCGGTCCAATTTGGTCTGACTTTCACCCCAAACCAAAATTGATACTATTTAATCGGTCTGGTTCGATCCTGATTTAATGAAAAAAATTATAAAATTGACTGATTTGGTTTGAACTGATTTTGATTCAATTTCCAGTGCGGTACTATTTTGGACCGAATTATTATTATTATTATTATTTTCAACTAAAATTTTATTTTTTTGGGCTTGGAAAAACAAATAAAGGGCTTGGAGTTGGGCTTGATGGCTTGGAGAAGAGTATTTGTGCTTGAAGAAAGAGTAGGTGGAGAAAAAATTGAGTTTGGGCTAATATTATATAAATAAATAATATATATTTAAGCCGGTCCGGTTTAGCCATATTTGGTTTTTTTACTACAAGAATTGAAACTGAAATTAGACCAAATTGGTTTGGTTTGGTTTTTGGTAAACTCGGTTCAGTTTTTGGTCAACTCGATTTTTTCCTCTTTTTTGGGCCCAATTCGGCTCGGTTTTTCAGTTTTCAGATATGAATGCCCACCCCTAGTTTCTTTCCTCCAATGTTAAAAAAAAAAAAGAGAGAGAGAATGGTGAAACATTCAAAATACTAAAACTTAAAAATATTAATTAAATACAAATTTATAAATAAACCCAATCCTAGACATGTATTTATAAAAAAACCCAAGCACTATTTAAACATAGAAACACACCCAAAATCAATATCATAGTCAACTTTTTGGGTGTGTTTATAAATGGGTTTTGAGTGTGTGTAATGATGAGTTTTGGGTGTGTTTATATGTTTAAATAGTGCTTGGGTTTTTTTATAATTTCAACCCCCATTTTGGGTGTTTTAGTGAAACTCCCTTAATTAAATGAGAATAATATGGTAAATTCACACTTTTTAATATAACAAAAATTAAAAATTAAAAATAAAATTAAATAATGGGTCTTATTTTTGTGAAACACAGCACAACTACAATTATCTTTATTAATTTTAAAATAAAAAAATAAAAAAGAAAACCAAGGGCTAGTAAATAATAACAGCAAGGCATTTAAAGAAGAACGCGGGATGCGGAGGGCATTCGTTTCTGATACGCCAATGTAACGGACATACAGTTTGCCTCACAATCCACCAAAGACTCCCTTTCCTCTCTCTCTCTCTCTCTCTCTCTCTCTCTCAACACATCCCAGAAACCCATTTACCATTTTCACCAATTCAATCACATCATCTTGTCGCATGTCAAAAAATAAAATAAAATTGACATCATAGTGGTGGTGGGTTTTTAACTCCCATTGCCTATTTTGCAGTGTGCCAAGAAAGGTATGACTTTGTATTTATCACCTGCAATATATGAATGTGTTTATATTTATGTATATGCACGTGTTTGTTAATTGGGATTGTGTTTTGTGATCTGTTTTGCGTGATTCTACGGATGTAGGAAGTAATTTGGAGTTGCAAATAGTATTTCTTGGCCCTGCAAGCTTTGTACTTTTCTTCTTTTTCTTTATCCCTTGTGTGATCAATGGGTTTATCGCCTGACAATTTCCATGGACTCACTCTGGCGGTTTCTTCAAGCATTTTTATTGGGGCTAGTTTTATTATGAAGAAGAAAGGTCTTATAAAAGCCGGGACTAAAGGAATCCGAGCAGGTTTGATCCCATTTCTATTTTGGGTTTTAATCACCATATAGTTTTGAATTCCCAAATCCCTTGTAAATTGGCAAATAATTTTGTGTTCGTGTATTTTTATTCAATTATATTGTTATGGAGGTCTTGGAACATTGGTTTCATCGATATCTTGTTAACTGTGTTTGTGGCTCTATGGCAATCAGGATCTGGAGGGTATACGTACTTGTATGAACCCTTGTGGTGGGTTGGGATGATATCAAGTAAGTTTAATCATCTCTTCAAATGCTTTGTTAGCATGGTTGCATTCCCTTTTTTATTTTATTTTATTTTATTTTTATCGGATTATTGTTGAATGTATTTCTAAATGCAGCCCTTCTTTTTATCTCTCTCCGCCAATCAAATAATAAAGAAAATTATTATAAATTTCTTTAACTACAGATTTTTATGCTGCCGGCCTTTTTTTTTTTTTTTTTGGTTAGACAATTTTTCTTTTGCTTACAATGCCAGGGCACATCTGCCATAGCACAACCATGACAGATAGCCAAGGCATCATGACGATGGCACAGATGGAACCTGTGGTGTCTGCCATTGTCTAGCACGAATGACATGGTTTTTTGTTCAAGGATTATAGTGAGTGTGGAGAGAGGAAAAAAAGATTTTTTGTATGCAGACCCAAAAAATTAACAGTTATGGATCACTGGACCGCAATGGGCGGTTGGATTACATGTGATCGTTTTCTTTTCTTAAATAGAGGGATTCGATCTTAGAAACTTCTTTTATATATAGCTTTTATCTCACTTATTATCCTTATGTATGAGTTTTCATAAGCATTTTAAAATGCAACTTCAGTCTAAGAGTCATCATCCAACGTATTGTGTCTGTGTATGAACTGCAAGTCTAGGGTTTTTTCTAGCATAATTACTCAAATTAGGTGCCTAGAGCTATGTTTGGAATTTCTATTTCTCTTTTGCTCTTAGTTTTGTGCTGATCTTATTTTCTTTTGTAGTGATTGTTGGGGAGATAGCTAATTTTGCTGCTTATGCATTTGCTCCAGCAATTCTTGTGACTCCCTTGGGAGCTTTAAGTATTATTGTCAGGTATGAAACACCTTATTATTGCCCTTATTGATTCAAGATAAGCTTTCTTGGTATATCATTCTTGCACAGGTTCATGCATGATCACACATTCTCTTGCATGGTAAATGCAATGCATGTTTTTATGCAACACACGTGGGAATGTGTGTGTGTATACATGCATGTAGTTGTGATAGCAGTTTTTGCGGTAGAGTGTTTTTATCAAGATGACATTTTTATTCAGTGCAGTGCTTGCTCATTTTGTTTTGGAGGAAAAATTGCATATCTTTGGTGTGCTTGGTTGTGCTCTTTGCGTGGTGGGTTCAATAAGTATTGTTTTGCATGCTCCACAAGAGAAACCAATACATTCTGTTAAGCAAGTGTGGCAGCATGCTACACAGCCAGGTATTTGCAGATTTACTGTAGTCTCTTAATTCAAATTTATTTTGGAACTTAACATTTGCTCTTGATTTGTCATTCACGCTGAAACTACATGGGTTTTTTCTTCTTCTTTTTTGTGGCGCGGTAATATATGTAAACTTGTTAGCATTAGATTTCTTTTGCCATGTTAGACTTTGCTTTAACATTATAGATTGATTGTCTATAAGGGGTGGTTGAGCTTCTTTATCTGCTACTCCTATATTATAGAACAGCTAGATAGGAGATGAGTGTGATCCGGCAACCCAAATGTGAAGATACCACAGAAAAGCACTTGTTTAGAATTCTAATATTTGTGTTGTTTGGAGAAATATGAAATGCTGGGAATGTTGGTGTTGCAGTAGACTCAATGAGGCATGTTGTCTTCTTTTGAAACTACGAATTTTAAAATAAAATACCATTTTTTTACTGAAATGGTGTGCATGAGGAAAAGTGAGGAGCACTATAAGAGTAAGTCAAAGGACACTGCTTGAATGTAGTATGCATAGTTCCTTGGACACACACTATGCAAACATCCTAGACATGGTTAGTACCAAGCTAATTTTTTTATTCACAGGTTTCATCGTCTACACCTTTTTAGTATTGATTGTGGTTGCTGTCCTCATTTTCCGATATGTACCACGTTATGGGCATACCCACATGGTCGTATATGTTGGAATTTGTTCACTCATGGGGTCTCTTACGGTCTGTTTCAAAATTTTGAGCTTGTTGATGTTATTACTTTAGGTTTATGTATACCTAAAGAAATTCTTCGATTATCCTTGATTCATCTGTAGGTTATGAGTGTGAAAGCAGTGGGAATTGCTCTGAAGCTGACATTTTCAGAAATGAATCAGTTTAAATACTTTGAGACTTGGGTTTTTGTATTGGTAGTGACAGTATGTTGTGTTTTCCAGCTAAACTATTTAAACAAGGTAAATACGTACTGAGCAATAATATTTATTCTTTCTTTTTCCTG